ATTATTCAAATAGTTATTTAATTCATTGATCCTTCAACGAAATCAGCTGTCTCAAAATAGGTATTATCATCTTTGGGTTCAATTTCATTAAAATTCACTTTTTTCCTCTTTTTCTCTACATATGTCATTTACACAAATGTTCTGGTGTTCTACACACCTTAGACTAATGACTTTTCTTTCCACATCTGTATCATACATCTTCATAATTTCTCGAGGGACCTTCTTGCACATACCTACAATTTCCTTGGAAATTCCAATTATTTTGATCATATCTGGAAGATCTATAATTATTCATGGAAGATCTACAATTCCCCCATTCTATATTGTTGTTGTAATAATACCCTGGATGCATGGAAAATTGAAAATGTTTTTTCCAATTTTTATTTTTCAATTATAATTTTGCCACAAAATTCTAGTTGTGCTATAATCTGGTGCATGACAGAGTTATATGTAACGACACTTTTGTAATCTTGAAACCTCAACTTATTCTACCGATCCATTAATGAGGGTAATAGGACTTTCTTCTGATGTCCAAATCTTGCTTTAATTTTGTTCCACAAAATATTGGTATCTTTACCATTTGAATATTCGGTTTGCAATCCATCATCAAGATGGTGATTGATTATTCTGTTCACTTTTGACTTTCTTTTTTCCATTTCATTTGGATCGTCTTTCGATGTTCCAGAATTATCCCCTTCAAGTATTTTGTGAAGTCCCTCACATGTAAGATATTCAATTAAATTTTTGTTCCAGGTTATGAAGTTGTCCTCAGTTATGCTTAGAATTTTGAATTGATGCTTAAGATTTGACATGATTTTATCTATATTTCAGATGAACATAAACAATATTAAATACATAAACTAAAAAAAAAACAATTTATTCAATTACAAAATTCATTACTACATATTATTCAAAAACCTCTACTAATAAACCAAGCCAAGACTAGTAATGGTAAGAAGATAATTATTATCAAAGCTACAAAATCATTACCTAATTCTTCATGTTTGATAACACTGATAATAAACAAAATAATTACAAGTAGAGTGGTGAACAAAAGAAAGAATTTTAGCCATTTGAAAAATATGGATAGAAGTTTTGAGAATGATGTGAAAATTATGGAAGAAGTTGAAATATTTATAGATGTAATTTTTTTTTGAAAAATAGCCGTTATATTATCGTTGGGGAAAGGAAAAAGAAAAAGGGAAAAGGTTAAGTGTGGAAAAAATAATTATATGGTCGTTATAAGTGTTGAAGATAATTATCAGATAACATATAAGACAAAATAACACATATGATAAATATTAGAGTATACATATGAGATTTTAGGCCTCCATTAAATATAAAAGCTAGTAACAACATAGGGTTTTAAACCTCCACTAAATATAAAAGTTAGTAAAAACATGGAGTTTTAAACCTCCACTAAATATAAAAGCTAGTAACAACATGTGGTTTTAAACCTCCACTAAATATAAAACTAGTAACAACATAGAGTTTTAAACCTCCACTAAATATAAAAGCTAGTAACAACATGTGGGATTTTAAACCTCCACACAAAATATATAATAAGCATAGCTTTACTTATTATAGAGCACTTGATGAGTTGTCAGTTTTCTATAACAAGAAGTAAAATAATAATAACAATAATAGTCACTCTAGTTATAAATCACTTGACTGATTGTCAGTCTTCTATAACCGGGACAAATAATAATAATAATAACAGTAATAGTCACTGTAGTTATAAATCACTTGACTGGTTGTCAGTTTTCTATAACCGGTGCAAATAATAATAATAACAATACTAATGGGATTAAAGTAATAAGTATAAAATATATACCTAGTGTAGTAAAAACTTCTGATATAAACGATTGTGCTGATAACGTGTTGAGATAAGGCGAATATCTGAATCAAAACTAAGTGAATAGAGATGTAGAAGAGAATGTGAGAGTGATTTATTTCTTTGAAGGAAATGTTGTGTATTTTCATACATCTAAAATATGTTATTTATACTATAAGAAGTATAACTATTCATCTAATGTAATAATACATGTAACTATTTTAAGTTGACAAAATTTTATATATAGTAGATATTCACTATTCACAATATATATATATATATATATATATATATATATATATATATATATATATATATATATATATATATATATATATATATATATATATATATCGCACATGTTCTGTCTAGATTCTCATCACACGTGTCTATTATCGATTTGTTAAGTTTGTTAAAATATATTAAAGATAAGGTAATATAATTCAACAAATGTTAAACATTTTTTCTAAATAGTATATTAAACAACAGAGTTAGCATGACTATCATGAATAATCTAACATACTTCTTATCAACTTTATAAGACAATTTGTAAACATCATCTAAATTATCTTTCGTGTAAACGATACAACATTGAACTTTATCATTTCTACAATCAACCAATAACAACAAACCGCATCATACAACTGCATGAAGAAATCTCTCGAATTATATATTGATTATTCCAAATTGCAAAAAATAAAAAATAAAGATTGTTACATGTACATATATAAAGTAAAAATGGATATTTAATTTGGATCACAAAAGATAAGGTAAAAAAGATTACCAACTAACAAATTGATTGATAACCTCCTTGTATACAACATTTGTAGTAGTTGAACACGATTCATTCTCCTCGTCGTGTATTAAGATTTTCATACCACTTTTGGCCATGACTAAAAATAGAAGTAGAAAAGTACAATCTGACACTATCAAGTGATTGACTTTAGAATTTATTAATCGTCATTGCGTATGAGACAATGATCGAAAATTGTCTCCTAATCAACTTAAATGGCCAGGGTGATTCAAAATGTGACATATACATTCAGGGAATGTAAAAAAAGGTTAATCATGTTCTTTCCAGACATAATTTTGGCCTCAATAATATGATTTGCTTGTAACAATTAATCTTGTTCCATTGTATAATCCCTAAATTTGGTCCAAATTTCTCATTAGCATAATGAAAGTACCAACCTTCAATTTGATCTTGTGATTTGGTTGACCTTATGTTCTCAATTTACTAAGAAATTCTGGAATTAGCACTTCATATGCTTAAATATAGCTTGTATCAGTTCTATCAATCTCATCTAAACTCAGATACTCTTTCTCTTCTCCTATAAAATGATTTAAAATCAAAAAGTTAAGACATTAGTAAAAGCATTTAATGCAACGTATTGTTGTATGTATAAATAGACTAAAGTTAACAAAATTTTACCTGGTATCAAGTCTAATACATAGTGATTGATTTTGTCCACAACTTCAATGGTTGAAGCAAGAATTATTTTTCCTTGTAAGAATGCAACATCTTGAAATTTTTCCAATAAATTAGAATATGTGCTATCAATAATAGCCTTTATAGGATCATCAAAATTGGATATTGATAACTCTTGAGGAAATTCTATATCAACCAACCCATCATTTGGTTCAGAAATCTTACCATCACCAACATTTAAGATCCATTTTAAGAATTATGCTAGTTCATTAGAACTTGTATTATCTATTCCCTGTTGAAGTCTTATTTTTTTGTTACTGTTAAAACCTGACAATAGTCCTATACATACGATGAGCTAATTGATGCATGGACAATATCAAAACGGCCTAGTCTTGGAACAACTGGAAGAATCTGTCAGAAATCCCCTCCAAAAACAACAACTTTCCACCAAAAATTGTATTCGCAAGACCTTTTTTGCTCATGACATCTTTAAGGATTTTATCTAATTCCTCAAAGTAGTTTTTATGAGACATAGGTGTTTCATCCCATATTATCACATCAGTTGCGTCAAATAATTGTGAAGTTCGATGTTTTTGTCAATATTGCAAGTAGAGTTGTCAAGTGTTGGAACAAGTATTTTAAACTTTGAGTGGACAATTCTTCCACCTGACAATAATAAAGAAACTCTACCACTTGAAGTAACAATAAGAATAATTTTTTTCTGCAAACAAAGTACACTTCATACTATTTTACTATTTTCCACATGAAAGTTTTATCAGTCCCTCCATAACCATGTAAAAAAAAAACACTCCTCTTTGTTTGTTGACAACTTTCATGATTGTATCAAAGACTGAATGTTGTTCATCTATCAATTATAATGTAAGAATTATCAGTTTAAAGAAAACACCGTCATATCACAAATTCATAATACAAATAAAAATAATCACACGTAAGGTCACAAAAAAGATTATGAAAGTTTTTTCTTTCAGTATCAACATTGTAATCATGTTCGTCATAAACTAGTCTATTACCAATGTGCCTTGTGACATATGAATCTGGATAATGCATATCTTTAAATTCATCCAGGCTTCTTCGACTTGATTGCAACATATTCTCAATCTCAATAAGTGTCAAATTTTTTCTCAGTGATTGTCAACTGCATATCTGTCAAAAATATACCAATCAGGATTTTATATAATGGTTTTGATAACATATAATGTTGCAGCATTGCTACCACCGTGATAAACATACGTACGACATCAAGATGTAAATACATACAACAGTATATTATATTTTTATTAATACATATAGCAGCATGCAACTTTTATCAACACATATATACGGAACAACATTATATATTTGTACATAAACATATCATGTTTTTGGATGCAAGTTAATGGTGATATATAACGTTAATAGCAACACATATGGGTGACAATGAAAATTTATATTAATGTACTTAAAAAATTAAATAATTGGCACGTACCTCTTCTATTTGTCATCTTTCTTTATTGATAGAGAATACCGTCAGATGACATCCTCCAAGTTTTTTTCTCAAACATGGAGTGGTCTATTGATTGTATTAGATAGTAGCATAGTAACAAATAACTTTTTCAAAAAATGTTCGGAACCCCAATCATTTGTCTCATTTATGACTGCAACATATTCCTTGTCATCATTATGAAATCTCATTTCATAACATGCATTCCTAAAACTATCCTGAACATTTCCACCGACCTATTTTATATCCTCATAGCATGTTGGTCCCTTCACAATTGTTAGCATCATTATCAAGTAATACAACTCACAAGTATTTGGAGGATCCCAAATTAGTCTGCCAATGGCATGACCTCGTTTATGTGGTCTCCATTGTCGGTATCTTTTATCATAAACAAACTTGAAAATAAAATTATAATATGTCAAATTTCTTGCCTCCGAGTATGTCTTGTTTGCTTCCATCGATAAAGTAAACATTGATTCTTTCACATTTGATTTCTCAAGCAATTTATTCATAATCAGTATAATAAACCGAATTGTCACCCTCAAGATGGACCAAATTATCATGTAAGATATTAACTTGAAAATTTGAGTTGCTTCCTCAACCAAGATTTAACTTGATGATTAACTTTGAGTCTTTGGAAACTTCATTTACCATTAAAAACATATTTTAAAAGTTTTTGGTTTTAAGTATTTACTTAATCATGTAATTAGATTATTTCTACAAAAATTAGATATGGATGAATAGTATGCACTACAAGAAAACAATGTTTTAGCGTCGGCCAAAAGCCCCCGCTAACAGCGCCAAAACTGACGCTAATAGGTTTTAATGTCGACCTAGCGTCGGTATCGGGATGGTCTCTCCAAAGCTCGAAGCTAACAGTGGCTGGAAGTCGGTGCTAATCTAGTGTTGATTATAGTTAACGCTAAGGGGACACTACCTATGATCCATAGGTCTACGTTAATACAAATATAGTGTCGGCTTTTAACAACTCTAATGTGTGACATGTGGCATTATGTGATTGGGTTTACCCTTAACACATAAACATTAGAGTTGCTGGTAGCGTCTGCTTTTTGCGCCGCTACAGTACGTCACGTGTTTGCTTATGATTGTATAATGCTCAGAGCAATTGCCTTCTAAAGTTTAGTGTCGATTTTAGCCGACGCTATAACCTGCCGTGTCATTGATAACGTCCCTCTAAAATAGTCGTCACTAATTTTTCTTGTCCAATTTCCTAAAACCTGCTTTTATTTACACCTATTAATTATAAAAATATGATACAATAAAATCATTTTACAACACAAACTATTTTTTTGGTCAAACCAATAACTATTAGTAAACATAATTTAACCGTTTTAAAATAAAATAATAAATTTTCAAGTACACCAATAAATTGCAAAATATGATACAATACTGATAAATCTTCATAGTGATACAATACTGATAAATCTTCATAGTGATACAATACTAATAACACAATCCTATAATCAAACGAGTTTACTTATACATACTAAGGTGTACCAAAATAAGTATACTTATAAGTCAAACTAGACATAAGACAATCTAGACATAAATCAACTCTATTGATCATCATCATCATCATCATCATCAACATCATCGATGTGATGTTTGAAAACACCAACTTGAGTGACTATACCATATCTTTTTTTAATGAAGAATATTGATTATATTACAAAATTAGTCGTGTACGAATTAGTACTACGGCAAGGACCATTTATTAATTTACTTCAGGGATAAAGAATAATATATAGTTTTATAGGATTTAGAGCCTGTATCATCCGAAGAAGATTAATGATAATTAAATACTTATTTATAACATGGTATAAAAATGAACAAGAATGCTAAACTAACACTAACACTACACCGTATTTTGTTTTAATTTTATTTAATATTTTGTTTTAGTTCAAGATACATTACAGAGTGATTAAGATGCATGAGTTAATCCCATAAAGTTGCAAAGATTATTCGACAAGTGAAATTTATAAAAAAAATTAATTGAGAAGTTCTCTTAAACTAATCCAAACTTGTTGTTCAAATGTCAAGTATGTGAATATATGCTAATTATTTTCAAGTATGTGGTCAATTTTTAACTTTAATTAATCATCAAATACATGCATTTATTTAATTTGGAAATGCATAAAAGACATACATGATGTTCTGCAATCTTTGTTAATGAGATATTCTGAGAGTGCCACTTGATAAATCGCTAACTTGATGATTTGTTCCTGCAAGTTACAAAAATGATTGCACCCATCATATTAGAAAGAAAAGCGTGAACAAGAGTTAATATAATCAAACTATATTTGTAGTTTGCAACTTGAATTGAGGTAAGGCTGTAAGAGTATGTCTGATGACTAATTCATGCATTAAAGATGTTTTCATACTACTTTTTTTATACACAAATGTTACCATATAATTCAAGGACTATAAAGAGAACGGAACGGAAGTGAAAACTTATAAAGAAATAACACCGTAATACATGTGGTCACTCACATCACACCACTTTATACTGCTTGATAAAACCGACAACATAGAAATGATAACTAAAAACCAACGTTAGATTTTGTTAAGTCGTTGATATATACATTCTGCATTATCTTTCTGTCATGTATGCTACTATATATGTACAAAAAAGTTAGAAAAATTGTTAGTAGTGAAATATCTACTGATCCCTATCTAAAAGTTCACTCGCATCCATGTGACACTACCCCATCAAACCACGCTAATACCCTTCCCATTAAAAGCCTTATAAGAGAGCCCTTCAAGGCTTCAACAAAACAATTTTTCCAATTTTTTTATTTGCTAAATATATGATGATAGAAGCAATGACAGAGACCGGCAAGTATATTGTCACTTTCCATCATCTAGGCACTACTTTTGAATTGATTAAGAATGGTCTTCATTCAACCAAAGCCACATTGTCAAATCTCAACTTCAATAAACCTCTTAAAACATGATACTTTGAAAACATCCATTTTCTTTATCACAGTTCAGAAAACAAAATTGTACTAGTCTTACATCACACGTACACGATGAAGAACACACTCTCTTTTTCCCTCATTCACAAAATCACATTCCCACGAAATTCACTCCCATTAAAACCTTTTTATTGCTGAACCGAGAAAACTGTGGCACTATTCTCATTTTCATATCTATAACCAACGAACCGTGTCTGCGTCATACTGCAAGCTTCTTTCTTGCGTCACTAAAGCAAAAAATACTGAGGATTATTTCGTATGCAAAAATATACTAAATAGAAAGAAGAAAAATGAATCCCAAAGTAACTAACTAGTTCTTACAAATACATGTAATTCAGATCTAGAACGATGTGATTGATATAGATGCAAGATTGCACACACTATGTACCAAACCAAAAAATTAGCTTTCTTAACCGTTATGTGATTATGAATGTGTCAATTGAATAAATTAAACCAAGAGAAACTAGAGTATTGATATCAGTTGTTATTATTATTTGGTATAGACCTATCATTATGACAAAAACAAGTTATCCTAGAAGAGTCAGCAACAAACTCTTTTACAAACAAATTTCCCTTTTCCATTTGTTGAAATTCAAATGAGTTTCCATATTTTGGGAATGAGTCGCAAATAACTTCGGTAGAGCACAGATGAATTTCAACAAATAGAAGAAAGTATGCTCTAAACATTCAGACATACATCAAACATTGTATATAAAAATCTATATAAGGCAAAAAGAACAAATCAAGCAATTGATCAAAAAGAGAAACGATTTCCTTGATGATTTCTTTCTCAATCGATTTCCTTTCAAACCTGGAACCTCGAAGCAATGAGAAACGATTGAAATTAGGGCATTGAAAAGAAATACGATGAAAAGATTTCAACCTGAAGTGATTTTGAGAAACGATTTTAACCTGAAGTGATTTTGAGAAGCGATTGCAACCTGAAGCAACCTGAAGCGATTTTGATAAGCGATATTGCAACCTGAAACGATGAAACGAAGAAGCTGAAGTGATTTCTTTTGATTTTACAAATACAACCTGAAGACGTGTAGTTCAATTTACTAAATACATTTTCTTATTATTTTTTTCCGTTTTATTTACTAATTCAACCTGAAGAGATTATGTTTTTATTTTTTTCTTACTAAATACATTTAAGTAAATACAATTTGATTATATTTTGTTTACTAATTTAAAATATTTTATTTATTTTATTTTATTTTTATTTTATTAAATAGATTTTAATTTAAGTTTTGTTTTATTTTATTATTTTATTATATTTTAATAATATATAATTTTCATTTTATTTTATAAATTAGATTTAAGTTTAATTAATTTAATTTTATTAATTTAGTTAAATTTTATTTTATTTTAATAATTTATAATATTGATTTTATCTATAAATTTGAGTTTAATATAGTTTTGATTTTAATTTACTTATTTTAGATTTTATTTTAGAAATTAAGTTTTAGTTAGTTTTATTTGACTTTTGAATTTATAATTAAAAATAATCTATTAATAAATTATTTAAAACAATAAAAAATAAAGGAAAATGGTGGAGAAATAAAACTAATTGGCACCAAAATTAGCGTGGCCCAATCTGTCGTTGAATATATATATATATATATATATATATATATATATATATATATATATATATATATATATATATATATATATATATATATATATATATATATATATATATATATATATATATATATATATATATATATATATATATATATATATATATATATATATATATATAAAGGAGGTAAACAAAATTGATGGGGAAATAAAATTATGTGGTACCAATGTTAACATCAGCCAAAACCATCATTAATATTATAAAATTATTTGTTAAATAAAATAACTAAAAAAGAGTCAAATAAAATTGATGGGAAAATGAAATTATTTGACACCAATCTTAACGTCGACCCAAACTGTTGCTAATATTTAAAAAATTAATTATATAATAAAATAAATAAAAAGGAGACAAACGAAATTGATGGGAAAATAAAATTATTAAGATCTAGAATTAGCGTCGGTCAAAATCGGCGCTACAATTAATGGCCCAATAAAAAAGAAGAAATTGATTTTATTCAGTTAGTGTCGGTTTTATGTGTCGTAACTGTGACACCATTAGTGTCGGAGCGTGGTCGACGCTAAAAAGTTGCAACTAAAACATGATTTTCTTGTAGTGATGGCTTATTTCACATAAACAACAGCAGAAAATGCAAAGACATATAGATATATGCCACCATTTCAACATGCATGTTGCGTACAAAGTGCTAATTGAAATAGATAACAACAACTTCTTATAAATCTTAAAGATATTCATTCACTGCTTGCATGAACACAATTGTTAATAGTACAAAACCAAAAATTCAACATGGTAAATAAATCTGAATTCAAAACTGAAACAAATCTCGAAAGTAACGAAAGCAAAACTTAACATAAACAATCACCCTGTCTTCATGAAAACTATGGGAAACTAAAGGATATATTTATGGTGATAATTATTTATCCTTTTTATCTCTTTGATTATCTTGGTTGAGGAAAGTTAGGTACTTTAAATATCTTCTACATCATCAGGTAAAGATCTCTTAGACGGAGTCAGCCCCGAATTTTCATTTGTTAGGTCATAATCTGTTGATGTAGATAAAGGTTCCTGCAATCATCATGCAGAAACAAATATTAGTTTAGAGTAAGCGACAGTAAAAAAAACATACTTAATGTGTTTATCTTTGAAGAATAAGATATACAGAAAACTTATTAGTTTCTCTTATGATGAAGGATCCGATGTTCAAAGCTTTGATGTATGTTGCCAAGCCAAAACGATATTAGCTCACTTGCTTCAAACACAAATGAGTATATAATGTTATACAATGAAGGAGTGAACAAACATTAATTCTTCCACTTTGAAGTTATCCCTTATTTTTTTGCGGGAATCTCCGTCATATATGAAGCCAATGACAACCAGTCTACCATATTTTGGCTGAAAAACAAGTCTAATGGTCAACTCCTTTTTCAATATTACATCAAGTTCGTAAGAGAATTCAAGGGGATTATCTTCATCGGCCTGAATTAACAACAACACCTTTATTTAATTGAAATTCAAAAACAATAAGTATTAAACAAATTGTCATTAACTACCTATATCTACTCCGTTTTCATTTGAAGAGATGACTTTCCGATTAATTTTACGCAATCGTTGTCCCGAAAGATGAACCTTGCTTTGAATTTCCCGTCTATTGCCATAACTTTAAGTTTATACCTAAATCAATGGCGATGTTAGGAATTTTTATCCATAATATACAATAATAGATGACATTTGTTAAATCAATATTAAGAACAACTTGATATACATAATATCTTGGCACTGGTACAACTATTATGTGATTCACATAACGTATCAACTTTCCATCTTTTAGAGACACAATTTGTGCACTCAACACATCCATCTTAATACCATCCTGACGGACCAATCTCAAATTTCTCCAACGTGGCAACAGTCAAACAAGTTGTCTTCTATGATATCGGCAATTAAAATAAAGGTCAAACATACGTCGTTGATGCATAAAGTAATTATCAATGAAAAGTTGCCTTATGATGAAGACTCGTTATTTCAGCAAGACTTAATATTTCGTATTTCCATAAAAACTTATCAAACTCAGAATATTGTGATTGTTAGGTAGCTTTAACTTGCAGGCTTGAAGAAGATAACAAAGGAAATTCACCTTTAAAGCTATCATTTATCAAAGAAATGTAATGCATCAAGGTAAATACATGAATTTGATTCCAACTACTAAATACACGAATAGAACTATGCAGTAATGCAATTAAACCACCTTTCTTTTAGCTTATTAATCTCAACAATACTAACATCATTTATAGTTAACTTAGTTTCGTTCCAAGCGTTAGATACATTCAATGAAAAACCTCCTGCAATAGTGGAATCATATTTATTAAATCATAGTTAGCACATTATAAAATCAAGTTGATAATACAAAGGGAAAATATTGAAGACCTTGAGTCTCTTTTATCCTTGCATTATGCAGTAGAATAATTACACTACCATTTTCCTTGCGACTCTTATAATAATCGTAAAACTGTAAAGCAAGTTAACTCCATAAAATACATTGTACCAATGATTTGATGCTATGTGAGTACACTTAATAAGTTAATTTCTTAATCAAAAAACTATCAAACGAACTAAGATTTTGTTACCATGGAAAAACATACAACATACCTCATATCAATTATTGTAAAAATAACCTTGTTTTTGTTGTTATCAGCATTAATTTGGGTCTGGCAGATTTCGGTAACTCCTTCAACAATATCTAACCAAACAACATATTTCAAACGTTGATAAGAATCTTACACAGTTACAGACTCTACACGAAAAATAACATTAACTATACGATTAACTTACCAACTAACAGACTAGATTGGAACATTCCCTCGACTATGGATGCCAAACCAAGTATGTTGAGATAATTCACAGGAATGTCTGGAAGTTCTGATTTCTTAACGAAGATTGATCCATAAAATACTAACTTGTAACTGTGAGTAGTCAATTTAAAAAGAGAAATCATTATTGGAAAGCTTAAAATTCTGCATGATGTATGAACTTCCAACTGCAAGTTCAGCCTTGAACTTCGAAGCCAAATGCGGTGAGACAATCACTTGAATCATATCACGCTAGAAAAATGAAATACAAAGTATTTACATTATAGACAAACATGTCGTAAAGGTAGAAAACCAACATGACCCATTTCTCATACCTTTAAATCAATCAAAACCATCTCAATATGCTCTTTGTTGGAGGCACTTGTCACAAACCACAAATGTTTACAACGAACAACTATCTTCCATAAATCTTTTGAGTCATTCATATCCTTGACAACTTCAATAGGGCGAGTCATAGAGTATTCTCAATGATGAAACAACCACACAAAAAACATGATGTTAGCTATAGATTCAACAATATCAAACAAATAAGCATCATATAACAAAAACAAGGAAAGTATAGAGAAAGCGATAATCGAAAAAGAAGTACTATGTGCAAAAGTTCCAACATACTTTAGGGAAGAAGATGGAAGAACGAATGTTTGGACGCAGAAAGAGTATTGGAAGTGGTGGAATGACTCTGTGTTATATGATCAAATTTACAACGCAGAGAGAGCATTAGACACAAAAAGTTGTGTGACTTTCCATTGTCCAAAAAATTAATTTTGCTTTTGAATTGGTTTTTCAACGTAAACATGAAGTCTAAGATACATGTAATATATAATTAGAGATTAAAATAAACTAAAATAAAAATCAGTATCAAAATTATAGGAGCGACACATCAACAATATTAATTATCAAATATATAATATTGAACTCATGTTGTAATTAAACACTTGTAACTCTGTAATTAAAAAAATTTAAACGTAAAATCAAAAATATGTTTCAACTACTTTGGCTTTTATATATTTATATATAGATTGTTTTTATTTTTATTTTTTTCATTATTTCTTATCTCAACTCGGATTCTAGGATGCCAACTCTACCATACGTGTTTTGAATTATAAAATTTATTACGTTTCTAAACACCTATTTTAAAAATCAATAATTCAAATCATAAAACAAAAATGGTGAAAAATAAAGAAAATTCTAAAATTCTCTAAATAATTAGTTCAACCTTTTCAAAAGCACTCATTTTCACAAAGATATACATTCAACCAAAATCAACAATTTTTTTTAAAAAATAAAACACTTCTTTTTCATAAAGATAAGTTCAAATCAGTAATCCACTTTTTAAAATGTGATAAATTTTACATTAAAAAATCGATACAATTCTTTAAAAAAAAAAAGGTCTATTTTCTAAAAACAGAGAATTCTAAGCAAGTCTTCCTCAAGTTATAATTGAAACTTGCAACATGAAAAGTCCTTTGCATGTTTAAGAATTCAACTGGACACATCATTGCAACAACAACACCCACCAATATTTCATCATTTTATATTCATGTTTTCTCATTGAAGTTTTTTATATAACCTAATAGGTTTTCGAGAAGTGGATTTCTTTTTTCTTTGATGATGTTTTTTTTTGCTACTTTTCTAGGTGGTGGGCATGTAACATTCAAGGACATTTTCCACCCCCCTTAAAACAAGGTTGTCACTATTAATTTCAATGGCTATCTTAGTCTCAACATCATCTTTTAGTTTCCTAATTTGTTTAATTAAATAATTAATCCAATCTTCATACTCAATTATCCTTTCCCTTTTGTCATATCTAACAATGATTCTATCATAAGATTTTTATTAATTATAGAGACTACATTATTATAACTAGCCAACCGGGAAAAAAGGAAACATGCAATAAAAAAAAGAGCTTGACCAAAGTGAGAGTGCTCATCACACAATCAAAGTAATATAACTTTATTTTACTTTTGAACATAGGTGAGGTAACATGTGGTGCAAATGATTCTAATTATAGACATTTGACAAAGCAAAAATATATTAAACCTCAATAACACTTCAATTTCAGATT